TATTAAATGGAATAAAGTCTACGCCTTCAAATATATGTTCCAGCTGTTCGATTCCTTTACTTCTCCAACCTGGTCAATCCGCCATTGCTAACAAAAAAAATCTCCAGTCGGGCCGCAATGCATTATGGGATACGCTGGGCCGGGAAGGATCCATCGGACCTGTCCTTCGATTCGGGCCAAAGGAAGGACGTATTTGTCGGCCACATCGGAGGAGTCTTCCGTTTTGGGACGTCCTTCGTCGCGGGGCTGTGACGTATGCGGCCGACGAATTTGACCTCCGGAGGACCCGTCCTGCCGTTTTGGACACAGCCATGGTTTACAGCTGCTCTAATCATTCTAGTCGAGAATGACTGTTATACACAAAGGTGAGAAATGTAGAAAGCCCACAGAAAATTGCATAAAAAGTGGATTTTAAACCTACATGTACATTTGCAGTCTAATAACCATGTCTGCAGCGACCACTTCGTCAGAGCTGTTAGCTAGCTAACTTGTTTTTTGTGGCAGTGTTTATTTAGCACTAGGTTATCATAAATTGCTCATTTACTTAGCAGTGATTATTAAGTTAGTTATTCTGTCCTAGCATTACGTGTCGTTTGGTAGTATATGACGTTAGCCACTACTGCTAGCATCTTAACATATGAAACAATATTTCGCTCATTCGTTCATTAATTGATTCATCTATTTGCAATAAAAAACAAAATATCCACCTGCTGCCAACAGATGAGTAAAACAAAAAAAGTTTTTTTATAGACTTTCATCTACTGTTTGATGTAATAATAGTTTGTGATATTGATAACCTTCATTTTTGCAAATCTTTAGGTTCATCAAACTCATTCATCTTCATCATACCGGTCACGTCCGACAGATTTTTGAACTAAATATTGGCATCTTTGTCTTGAAACTGATTTAAATCTGTACAATACAGACTTTCTACAACAGTTTTCTCTATATATATTGCCTTCCATTTGAAATTGTGCATCATCAAAACTATGTGACTGAAACTTAGCTATTTCGTTCCCAATACATTGGGAAGTGATCTAAGGAAGCAACCAGAATGTGTTAAATCTCAAGTAAAGCCAAACAGAACTGCAGTCATCACTTGATTCATGTAGTCTGCCAATAAAGAAAAATACCCAGTAAATATTCCATTTTGTGGCATAAATACTTGGATGAAGGGTTGAGGATATAACTGTTCAACATTTGTAGTTCAAATACTGAAACATACTTTCCAGTAGCAGAGACATGACAACCATGATGGCTCAGAATGCATGAGGCTGCAGGGTTCTGTATCCATTAGCCACCCCTGCTAAAAGCCCATGCTTCGCTGGGGATGGAATGAAAAGTCAAACATTTGAAGACAACCTAAAGGTTTCCTTGATAGAATTCCAGCCTGAATGTCAGCTTAACTCTGAGGGGGAAAGAAAATCAGGCTCTCCTGGCCAGAGATTTAACAGACCATTCTCTGGACCTAACAGAGACACAGCTTTTACTTTAAACACACTACACAGGCCTACTAGTCAATCAGAAATCAGGTGGGGGCGGGACTTGGATATCAGCAAAACTTTGATTCAGATCCAGCAGAAGCAATTGGTGCGGTGCTCAAAATGAATATTTTGGTTTGAAGGAGTTTGAACAAACAATATTGAAGCTAGCATGTTTTTAATAAACTATCTGTCAGAGAAGAAAAACCTGCAGAAGGATTTTTACTGATTCCTCCACCTTAGAGAGACGAGCCAGCCGCACAGTGGATGCTAAAGTTAGCTGAACAGGAAAAGACAGGTGGAGCGGAGGAGAAGGGAGGAGTAGAGAGGAGCAGGCAGAAAAACGTCTGATGACTTTTATAAAAGTGATCCAGGCAACAACATCGACCAACAGGTGTGTGTGAGAGAACATGAGACAGTGCCTGGCCTGTCTCTGTATATATACTTGGCTGTTTATGTTGCTTTAGTTCTTGGAATGAAACAATATGAACACTGAAAGAGTTATATTTGTTTAAATACGAATTAGTTTTCACATAGAATCTGAACTGCGGTGAGGTTCTTCTTCCATGAAGCAGCTCTGTTGTCCTCCATCCATATTTTCAGTTACAGACTGAGTCATTTCTACCTTCTCCTCTCTGTCAACGCTCTCTGGTTTCATTTAGAAGAGTCGATCATCAGATATTGTCCAAGATTAACCTTCAGGGTGGATATAGCTCGCTAGCAGCCTCGCACCGATGACCTAGTTGATGTCATCATTTCCCCAGAATTCTTTGCATGTAAATAAAATGGCTCCATCCGTGTTAAAACATATTTTTAAAAAATCACAAAACTAAACAGCCTACAGTATTTTTAGTCGTTATTTTACAGTTAAAATAAATGTTTATCAAATAAAGTTTAATGTTACAACTAATCGTGGATCCCTTTAAAGAGGAAGCAATGGTAATAGTAAAATAATATAATTTATTGACTGTCTATGTACAGTTTAAAACAGAACAATGACTTAAATCAAAATTATTGTGAACGTAAACATAATTTATTGACTTTTCATGCAGCTTTCTCGAGTTATGACTAATATTCATATTCATATTCATATTTATTCATTGATTTTTAGCGATCTTTTTACATGCTGGTTTGGGGTGTTTTGACCAAACCAAATTGTTAGTCATCCCTCCATATATACAACTTTCAAATTTCATTCAGCTAGCACCTTCCTTTCTCAAGTTATGACTAAAATTAACCTTAAAAAATGTAGGCGCTTCCTGTCCGACTCAACCAAGCTACTCCCCGCTGCCCCCAGCTTCTTCAAACCCCACCGTCAGTCTGACTAATCACATCTTGGGCCAACTGCTCCTACAAAATAAGAAACTCCTACTTAGTGACTGCAGAGACCCCCTTCTTTGTTAGAAATCTGCCTTTAATTAATTTATTTTTTTGTTATAAGCAGGTATTATCAATGTATATGCAGATAGAAGATGGGATTATGAGGAGTGTGTGTGTGGCCCTGTTAAAACTTCTTTATGAACTCAGTTTGTCCTACTTCAGACTTGTAACTCTTTTGGTTTTCTGTGTTTTCTCTGCATATTTTAAACCTGTCTGTTTCTGTATCTGCTGCTCTCTGTGTTTCAGTTGGAGGCAAAGAGGAGTGCAGTGGAGTGCGTACAGGTATGAACACACACAATACTGCAATAACTAGAAGTCGTGAATCCCACAGTCTCTGAAATATCTCCGTATTTAAAAGTCAAGGTAAATAAGGCTGTCAGTTATCATGAAGACACGTTTTCTGCTTTTTATCAGGTCAACTGTAGAAGACCTGGGGTCTCATTTATAAAGGATTGCGTGGAAACCATACTAAAAGTGAACGTACGGCCAAAAGGCAGAAATGGCGTACGCCAAAAAAAATTCAGATTTATAAAACCATGTGTACGCACGTTTCTGCACATCTTTCCTTTATAAATCACAGACGCACGTCAGAGTTTGCGCACAAGGTCCCGCCTCAG